ACACCCAGATCCATCTGTACTGCTATGTTCTACAGTGTCTCTCCATTTTAATAATATATGATGTTTTCTATGCTTGCCACCAAAGAGGACACCCACATATTTTGACATATAATCCGCTATCTGACAAATGTTTGCTCACTCGCTCAACTTTGCAGCCATTCCTTTGCAGACTCTGGGCATATTCAGTGGAGGTGATGAAAGTTTCACTGATAGTCCGAAAATGGGCTGTCACAATGTCTCCTCTTTTTAGGAAGGGCTGACCCATTCAGTGCCAGTCATTTAACTTCACAGCAGCAGGCTTTCATCAAGTGGAAGGACCCAAGGGCACAGAGAGTATCTGCTGAGAGCTGCCAACTAATCAAAGGCCAGGAGCTCTACATTCGTCGGAGTACAGATTTTACAATGACCAGACATTCAATAGCATAGAATGATCATTGAATCCCTACAGTGTGGAAACAGGCCCTTCGGCCCAACAAGTCCACACCGACCCTTGGAGCATCCCACCCAGACCCATCCCCCTATAAACCACCTAAGCTACACATTCCTGAACACTACGGGCAATTTAGCATGACCAATCCACCTAGCCTGCACATCTTTGGACTGTGGGAGGAAACCGGAGCACCCGGAGGAAACCCACGCAGACACGGGGAGAATGTGCAAACTCCAAACAGACAGATGCCCGAGGGTGGAATCGAATCCAGGTCCCTGGTGTTGTGAGGCAGCAGTGCTAACCACTGAGCCACCGTGCCAACATAGACTAGACCCTACAGAAACCCTATAGTAGAGACTCTGAGAAAATTGCCCTAAGTTAAATATTCCTCTGGGCAATTCCTTTAAGCCTGGTATTCTCTGTAGGTCTCCATAGCAATCAAAGATTTTGAGTGGTTCCAATGAAGTTAAGTGAAATATTTTAACCAAGAAAAGTTAGACAATTAAATGCATTGTCTAATTCCTGTGTAACTACTTAACAGTCACCATACTCATCTCACACACCCCAACTCCATCACTCCCACAACACTTACACACCCAGACTCGGATATGACACTCCTAGGATCCAATCTGACACCACCCCACCCTCTCCTAGCCAATCGCCAGAGGTCAGAGGGACACAACATCCAGAATCTCCTCTCAGAAATGCAGAGCTCCCTTTACTCGTAACAAAAAGCGGGGCCAAACTGCGTGAGATTGAAACTCCCCGGAAAATCAGACCCTGTGTAAACAGTCCAAGTCTGTGGGGTTCTGATCATCTGATCCCTTGTGGCATTGGAATCTGGGAGTTATCAAGCTGGGTAAAACTGGCATTAGAACTTGAAACCTCCCCCAATGTGTGCACATTAGGACTTTATCTCTGTAAGCGTCTCTGTAATCGCTATGATATCCCTGTCCCATGTTCCCAACCATGCCCTGAATTCATCTGCCTTACCTGTTAGGCCTGTTGCATTGAAATAAATGCAGTTTAATTTATCAGTCTTACCTCATTCTCTGCTTTTATTCCTGCCTGCCCTGACTGTTCGACTTGCTCCATTCCCCAACTGTACCAGTGTCAGACTGATGTCTTTCCTCACTATCTCTCTGGGTCCCAAAGCCCCAGGTCCACCACCTCACCACCTCCCCGCTACTAAAATCCCCGGGAGTAGTCTAGACATTACCACTGTTGAGGTCCTCCTTTTTAAATTCCTGCCTAACTTCCTATATTCTTTCCTCAGAATCACATCCTTTTGTCTTCCTATGTCATTAGTTCCAATGCATAGAATGGCTGCCTGCTGGTTCCTCTCCCTTTTGAGAAAATTCAGCACTTTCTACGAGATATCCTTGATCCTGGCACCAGGAAGGCAACACACTATTCTGATGTCTCATTGTCAGCTCCAGAAATGTCTGTCTGTGCCTCTGACTAATGAGTCCCCTATCACAATCGATTGCTTGGAACCTGACAGACCCCTCATTACATTAGAGCCAGTATCGGTACCAGAAACTTGGCTGCCAGTGCTACATTCCCCTGAGAGTCCACCACCCCCTACATTTTACAAAATAGCATACTTGTTTGAGATAGGAATAGCCACAGGAGACTCCTGCACTACCTGCCTCCCTCTCCTACTTTTCCTGGTGGTAACCCATCTTCCTGACTGTATCTATGGTTTTCCTCCCATCCTATAGCTGCCATCCATCACACGCCCAAGCTTCTGGAAATTCTTCACTGCCTCTAACTGCCACTCCAATTGATCCATGCATTCTGATAGAATTCTCAACTAAACACACTTCCTGTGGGCATAATTATCAGTAACATGAAAACTCTCCCTAATTTGCCACGTTTGGTCAGAAGAGCATATCACTCTACTAAAGGCCATTTTTGCACCTTAACAATCTACAAACCCAGAAAACAGCACAGTCTTACTGCTCTAAACGCACTGCTTCAGGCTAGCTTAGTACCTTTGTTTATTTTTTTAAAGTTTAATCAAGAGATAGATCTCAATAAAACATATAATTTTAAAATAAACTCACTCCAGCCATTATTATAGCTTTACAAAATAATCAGTAAGGTTACATTTTAAAAAGCTACTTAGCTGCTCCTCTGCTGTGAGCTCTCCCACACAGTTTTCTCCAAGGTCAACTGTGAATTTCGCTGCTTGTTAATTTTTCTTAGACGAACGCTGATGTACAGAGATACTTGAAATCAAACAGCAGAGGCACTAGCTGTGCAGATTCAATGCTGGGTCACATGGCACTGTAGGTTTCTTAGGTAACAAGGTGTGGAGCTAGATGAACACAGCAGGCCAGGCAGCATCAGAGGAGCAGGAAAGCTGACGTTTCAGGTTATCTCAGACTCCGGCATCGGCAGTTCCTACTGTCACTGTAGGTTTCTTTCTCTGTTTGAATCCCTACCCATGTGGACATTGCCACTGCCTTTGTCTGTCTTCCTCCTTTTTTAAAGTGCTATCATTTTGATCTTTTTTCCCCAAAGTTCCAAAACAATGCAGCAGTTTGTAAAACAGTAATTACTGCTCCTAGAATTCAAGAAAAACATCTCCAATACTGAAAATACCTCAATAAAGGAGCAGCGCTTAGAGACACAATTTTTCCCATCCTCCATCAAGGATTATCCAGATTGTCCCTTCCTGAGGCCTCAATCAACAATGGCCATCTTCTTGAACATATGGTTGCTTCCAGCCTTGTTGGAACCAATTTACAGGTACTGACCTCATTAATAGCCAAGGACTTCAACTGTTTAAACACAATGCTCTTACCAGGATTGCTGTGTCAAATAGAACAGTTTTAATCAAATGTCAGCCTGCAACTAGCCTCCAACCTCACAAACAAACAAAGCTTGTTTGATCTGTTCTTTTCCTTTAACCACAAGCTATACCAAAGCCCACAAGTCATTTCTAGCTCCCAATGCCAAGTTCACAATTCCAAACCAAAATTGATAAAATAATAAAAATAAATAACAATGAAAACTCAGTGAGGATTCTAACAATATTAAATAGTCACTTTCTCCATCACTGATACACAATCACAGCATTCTACAAGGAGTGGTGCAGAACTCACCAAAACTTCTTTGGCAACATCTTCCAAATTCATGGCTTCAACAGTAAGGAGGACAATGATAGCCCTTGGAATCATTACCATCTGCAAGTTTCCCTCCATGTCACCCTGACTCAGAACTATAAAGTCATTCCTTCAATGAGACTGAGTTAAAAAAAGGGAACTCTCTTCATAGAAGTGAGCAGCATGATGGCTCAGTGGTTAGCACTGCTGCCTCACAGTGCCAGGATCCTGAGTTTGATTCCACCCTCAGGAAACTGTCTGTGCGGAGTTTGCACATTCTCCTTGTGTCTGCATGGGTCTCTTCCAGGCACTCCAGTTTCGTTCCACAGTCCAAAGATGTGCAGGCCAGGTGGTTTGGCCATGCTAAATTGCCCATAGTGTCTGGAGATGTGCAGACTAGGTTGGTTAGCCATGGGAAATGCAGGGTTACAGGGATGGGAGGGTCTGGGTGGACTTGATGGGCCAAATGGTCTGCTTCCACATTGTAGGTATTCTACGATTCTGGAAGTGCAGTGGGAATACCTATGCCCCTTGGGCTACAACGGTTCAAGAAGGTAATTTAATAAAATTTTTGAAGGTCAATTCATGATGGGAAATTAAGGAAATTGGCCTTGACAGTGATGCTCACATTCTATGAACAAGTAAAAAGAACTTTGCAACAGGCCACTAACGATCAAGAATTTTGCAGCAGTAGGCTGCAGTGAGAGATTGGATGGTGTGGATCATGGTGCAGATTGCAAATGAGGAATAAACGGAGTCAAGGATGGAATCTTGGATACTTTGAGATTATTGCTGAGGGTGGGAAGCAAAGGTGATGAGGTTTGCTGACGTAATTGAAAAAAGCCTAGCGTGGAATCATACAGAGCCATCCAGGAGAAACGGTACGGGAAACTGACACATCTGAAACATGCCACCTTTCACATTGAATTCGCTCATTTGAAATGCATTGTCTTTTGCTGTGCAAGCAATGCTGCGCAAAATGGCTATTTAAAAGCCCAGCAATTAAAGAAATAATCGAGGATGGGATGTAATTAGTGACAAAATAAAGTTAACAGTATGATATTCAGCAAGTTTAAGATAAAAAAATGAAAGTTCGAATTTTCGATTTGCCAATTTCACTGCAGAATGAGATTCCTGTGTGTTCGTCCCTCCACACACCCCCTATGTCAGTAATTACATTGTGGAAATAAACCTGGGGGGAGTCTTGACGATTGAATGCTCGAAGATGGAACTTGACCCAAACCATCACACTGATGTATGTCAGGTGTTTCATAAACTTTTGGAGCTTTGATATGTACCATCAATGCCTAAGGTTCTTAACTATTTTGACCATGACACTAAATAAGGACTCAGGTCCCAGGAACTCGGAACTAACAAGAGAATTACGATAAGTTTTGAAATTGCCGGCATCAGCCCCGGCTTCACTCAGTTAGCCCACCGACTCTCCACTTCCTTACCTGCTGCCAGCCCAGTTTGCTTTCTTTCTCTGTCTCACTCTGCCCGAACAGCGAGTTTCTATTTGTAACCTAGCAACTGTTACCTCGGCAATAGAGACAAAAGTAACGTGTTAAAAAGTAGCACACAATATTATGAAACAAACTTCGAGTATGATCCGACCAAGAGGGAAAACTTTTCTCTATTCTTCTATAAAAGCCGATTCTCTTACCATCTGGAGCATTTACTATCGAGTGAGATCTGCGTACAGGGCTTGAAGGGTTATGCTCGGTAACAACTTGGATCTAAACTCACCTCGATTTTTGTTTTCATTTGAAACAGGCGAGCGTTAAAAATCACCCTCTCCCTATTGCGCATTCCTTACATGTTTTGAAGGCACAATCTTCCAGATTATGTTGCTGAATCTATGATAGCCTCCTCGGCTGGAGTGTCAGGTATCATTTTAAACAAGTTTAATGTTTGAAACAATTGTGTAAAGAGACCGCGCATACTGAAACCTGTTTACAAGATATATAAATGAATTATAGAAAAAAATGCTACTGCTGGATATATCAGGAATATTTTGGAAATAACCGGGAACGTATAATCATCCACAAGCATTTAAAACTGACCATGTCTTTGTATTTAGAACAAAGAACATAGAACATAGAACAGTACAGCATAGTACAGGCCCTTCAGCCCACAATGTTGTGCCGACCTACTATCCCACTAAGATCAAACTACCCTGCATACCCTACATTTTACTATCCTCCATGTGCCTATCCAAGAGTCACTTAAAAGTCTCTAAAGTATCTGACCCCACTACCACAGCCAGCAGCGTATTCCACATTCCCACCACTCTCTGTGTAAAGAACCTACCTCTGACGTCTCCCCATACCTTCCTCCAATCACCTTAAAATTATGCCCCCTCGTAATAGTCATTTCCGCCCTGGGAAAAAGTCCCTGGCTATCCACTCTATCTATGCCTCTAATCATCTTGTACACCTCTATCAAGTCACCTCTCATCCTTCTTCGCTACAATGAAAAAAGCCCTAGCTCGTTCAACCTTTCCTCATAACACCTGCCCTCCAGTCCAGGCAGCATCCTGGTAAATCTCCTCTGCACCCTCTCTAAAGCTTCCACGTCCTTCCTATAATGAGGTGACCAGAACTGAACACAATATTCCAACTGTGGTCGAACCAGAGTTTTATAGAGCTGCAGCATAATCTTGCAGCTCTTAAACTCAATTCCCCTGCAGATGAAAGCCAACACACCATACGCCTTCTTTACAACCCTATCAACTTGGGTAGTAACTTTGAGGGATCTATGTACATGGACCCCAAGATCCCTCTGTTCCTCCACACTGCCAAGAATCCTTCCATTAACCCTGTATTCTGCATTCAAATTCGACCTTCCAAAATGAATCACTTCACACGTTTCTGGGTTGAATTCCATCTGCCATTTTTTTGCCCAGCTCTGCACCCTGTCAATGTCCCATTGCAACCTACAACAGCCCCCCACACTATCCACAACTCCACCCACCTTCATGTCATCGGCAAACTTACTAACCCACCCTTCCATTTCTTCATCCAAGTCATTTATAAAGATCACAAAGAGCAGAGATCCCAGAACAGATCCCTGCAGATTTACATGGTGCCAAATTATATTTTGAAATACCTCCCTTAGTAAAAAAATATATGGGGTATAGCGATAGTTCTTGTGTTCATATGCAGCAGAAAAGACAGGTCTTATTTTGGTCAGAATTTTGTTTTATCTTTCCCCCAAAAACATCAACCCATCTTCTGATTTTGGATGTTAAAGGAATACATTGTATTTTTTTTAATTTAAGCTATATGTAGTGTCATAAGGATGTCATAAATCATCTTTCCTTGGGTTACTAGCAGCATGACATGTTGCTGGTAGTTTGTTGTGCTATTGTTTTTCTTTTGAAGATGCAATTTTGAATTTGCTTTTTCCGGGCTGGATTTGTTAAAATATTGAAACGCTGTTCAGACAATTGAGTTCTTTTTAAACAAAACACAAACTTGTTACTGTAAATTACTAAAGTTCACGTTCTACCAAGCAAGTTATAAACAGGGAATCTAATCCCAGAGGAACTGAAACATTCAGGTCTGGTTGAGTTTCTCCATTTCCTGTGTTTGTTTTAGATCTCCAGTGTCAACAGTTTTTATTTTATTTTAGTCTCTGAGTTGTAAACTGTTTTGAACCAATGACTACCACAAACATGAACAAAGAAAATAATCTTCAAGGTCTCCTTGTCAAGCAAAAGAGAGATTAGGACAATGCTGTGGTGAAGACAAATTGTGAGCCTGTGTTTGGAAGTGTTGTGTGGACTTCTGCAAAGGTGACCAGCCTTGAGAGAAAACCAACTACCGGTGTGAGTTTGCCTCCAACAAGATACTTTTATCTGATGCTTATGTTATCTTCCATCACATAAACAGTGGGCATAGATATCATCACATTGGACAATCCAACAAATGTTTATTATAGATACTATTATATACAAGCATTAGCCATCTAAGTGGTCAAACTAATGGGTTACAATAGCACAACAAACATCCAGCAACATGTCATGCTGAAAGTAATGTAAGGAAAGATAGTGAATGAGATTTTTATACCTATCGGTCACATGCTGTGATGCAGTAATGATATCATGAATATGTCACTTAAAGATAAACTGACATACTGTGTTGCTTCAAGGTATGCTGTGTCTTTTAAAGGTGCACTGATGTACTGACCATGAGATGTAACAAACAACTGTGAACTGAGGTCTTCCAAAATGTGGCAGTCTTCTCTGTACGATGACTTCCTGGAGAACAGCTTAAGTAAATGGCCGCAATATTGAACTCACCACAATGAGACCAGTCCAAGATCAACTAAGTGCATACTTCTGTTCATGAAATCTAAACTCTTTGTCAGACCAGTCTCTTTGCCAATTGAGTGTGTGTGTGTGTGTGTGTGTGTGTGTGTGTGTGCAGCCAACGTGTATAACCGAATGAATAGTATTGCATTACTTAGGTTTTCCCTAGCATGGGAACAAATACTTTCAATAAATGTATCACCTTCTTGTCTAACCTAAGAAAACCTGTCTTGAGTACTTTTGTCATAGCCTTAAAACACAAATAGTAAGACACTTACAGAATTGGCAGGGAGTGGGAGAATTAGGGAACTTATTTCAGCTCTCCTCACCTGCTTGTAAATATATGTAGTATTTTATGTATTTTATATATATATGTTTGTGTGTGTATTATAATAGTCACTGCATTTGGATTATATGGAAAAGCAGGCAAACAAAAGAGGTGAAGTGAGGGCAACTGCCCTTGACTTCAGTTCAGCATTTAACCAAACCTTCAAAGAGCCCAGCAATCAGAAAACTCTCTTGGTTTTCAAAGATGGTTATGGCTGTCAGAGGCCAATGTTCATAACTCCAGAACATTTCTGCAGGAGTCCCTCAAGGTAGATAATTCTTTCAAAAAAAAAGCCTGTCCAGAGATATTATTGCACACCTCTGGCACAAATGGGACTTGAACCTGGAGTTGTCTGGCTCAGCGGTAGGGACATTACCACTGCATCACAAGACTCTCCTCAGTTCCTCAGTGTACATATTTGATATCAACTTTTCAGACATGTTATATTATATACCTCCAAAACAGGTGGGAGTCCTCAGAGTAGTGTCTTGGGCCTGACCTGGTTTTTCATTGACCATCAATAGGTCAGAAATAGGAATGTTTACTAATGATTGCACAATGTTCAGCTCCAAATGCATCTGCTCAGATCCCGAAAATGTCCATGTCCATGTGCAGCAAAACCTGTCTAAAATCTGACGTTGGGCTGATAAGTGACAGGTAGCATCTGTGCTACACAAATGGGCAATGGCCATCCCCAATAACCCCCAACAAGAGAATGTCTAATCATCATTCCTTGACAGCTAATAATATTACTTTTGCTCAATTTCCCATAATCAGTTTCCTGGGGATTTACCGTTCGCCAGAAACTGAACTGGTCTAGACATATAAATACCATGGATGCAAGAGCAGATCAGAAGCTCAGAATTTTGCAGTAAATAACTTCTGTCTCGCCAAAATCTGTGAAAAACACAACCCAGCAGGGTGGTGGAATGCTCTCTGTTTGCCCATACAAGCATGGCTCCAACTCAAGAAGCTCAATGTGATCTAAAACAAAGCAGACTACTTGATCAGTATCCCATCCACTACTTTACACGTTAACTCCCTCTATGCAGAACAGTAACAATGTATAACTCAATATAATATGTCTTAAAACTGTAACAATTTCTTGAACAAATAATTTTCTTGAATTCTTCTCTTCTCCAAATGATCTCAGCACTGTTTCTTGATCTTCACTGCTGCCAAGGTATTTTATAAGCAATGAATCCTTTGCTACCACCATCCTTTAACTGTCTTCAAGGTTAGACTTCAAAGTAACACTATTTATGATACATTAATACTAAATAAAGCTTTACATGGTAATCTTTGATGTGCCAGACTCTGTATTTATTGTGATATTGTGTAAGAACTGATTTATCTTTGTGTGTTCATGTCCATGTACTCTTAAGACTCTCCAAAGTCCTAATATAGTGTTGTTTGGTCTGCGGTAGTGTGGTGTAGTCTTTTAGAGTGTCTTAATACTGTCAATACTGTGCTATTTACAGTTGGTTACGTATAGGTTGGTGACATATTCGTAATGTTGCTCTAGAGTCCTGAAGTCCTTACACAACAAGATGCACAGCAGCAACTCCCCAAACTTCCTTTACTAGCACCTTTCAAATCTGCAATCTTTACCACAAAGATGTCAAGAACAGTAGAACACAGGAGTACCACCTCCTGCAAGTTTCCCTCCAAGCCACACACTAACCTAGAACCATGTTGCCATTCCTGCACTGTTGTCAGTTCTAACAGCAATGTGAGTGTACCTTCACTAGATGGATTAACAGCGGATCGAGGAGGTGGCTCACCATTACCTTCTCAAGGGCAATTGAGAATGGGCAACAAATATGGCCTTACCAGTTTTGGCCACATCCCATGAAAGAAAAAAAAAATGATAGCTTTTGTTGAATTGAAAACCAAAAGGTACTTCATTTACAGAAGCAATTACTGAGCAAAGGGACAAAGTGATGTGAAAGTGCATGTTTAAATTGGAAATAGGAATTACACAGCATTTATTTACCCCAGATCAGCAAACCCAATTTTGGGTGTCCAGTTCCGAATGATCAAAAATCCAAGTTAAACAGCCACAAACTGACTAGAACAAACTTGATGGACTTCTCCCCTGTGAGACTGAGCTATTACAGACTTAGTCAGTTGTCATCCCAGACTGCTGTTCCAATTACAGCATATACAGTAACATCTCCTGTGGTGCTTTTCCTGGTGATACAGATCTTTGCTATTCTCTAATTATGGGGATGTTTCTCTTTCAAGAACATTGTTTTGCAGGCAAATTCCCTTTTTTGTTCAAAGGTTCTTGTTTATTTTGATCATTGAATTTTACATCTCTGTAGATTATTCTGTGATAAATATGAATGTGTGTTCTTTAGATGTTATATTAGCCAATTGCCCATGGTTTCACAAGTAGTGATGTTAGACAGCATGGAAAATGAGACAGTTTTGCATGGACATAATTCAGTGATAGAAACACAGAAATGTAGAAAATAGAGTAGAAATAGACCATTCAGCCCATCAAGCTTGCTCCCCCATTCAATATGATTATGGCTGAGCATATTGCTGCTTTCTCCCCACACCCTTTGATCCATTTAGCCCCAAGAAATATACCTAACTCCTTCTTGAAAACATTCAATGTTTTGGCTTTGACCATTTTTTGTGCTAAACAACTCTACAGGCTAACCACTCTGTAAGTGAAGACATTTCTCCTCATCCCAATCCTAAATGACCTACTCGGTATCCTTAAACTGTAGCCCCTCATTTTGGACTGCCCAATCATCAGGAACATTATTCCTGCATTTACCCTGTCTGGTCATGCTAGAATTTTATAGAATTCTTTGAGATCCCCCCACCCCACACCCCTCTCCAACCAATCCAGTTTCTCTATTTGAAAGTTCCCATTTAAAAGTCACCATTGTGCCTGGCGCTAAACTACAACTATAAACTCTAGCCCATGTAAACTTGTAATGTTTTCAGTACAGACAAAACAAAGTAAATGCTTAGCACCAGAATAAATCCATCCTATTTCCATCACTGAAAACACACACACCCGTAGAAAGAGCAAAATGACAAAAACATTTATTGTACTGTCCCAAATACAACACTCTCAAACTTCCTTCCATGAAACAAATAGCCATAATGCTTTCTAAAGATCCTTTACTAATTATACATCATGATCCCTGAACCATTATGAATAGCACAAATCACTGAATGGTTTTATGGAAAATATTTTCCTCCACTAGAAGTCATTGATTGCTGTGTTTGTTGCTGCTGGCAAAGAAATGCCTCATAATAAGGGCACATTGTGTGGAACTGTTCCTTCCTTCAGCTTAGCATTGTCAAGACAAAAGTTATTACATTTGGTTCCCAGCTGGTACGTTGTTCACTTGTCTCTGATTCCATTGCCCTGCATGATTACTTATTCAGGCAAAACAAACATTCAGCCTTTACATCTGAGCTTAAAATACCAAACCGTGGCTATCACTAAGACTGCCTAATATCACACACAGTGGAGGATCCACTGCACGACCATTACAATGCTGCCTCGCACGTGTCCTTGTGCTATGAATTACATGGAGCGATTTTTAAAATTTTTATTTTGCACGTTAACATGTTTCTGTTGAAGGGATCCTGAAGATCTTGGTTTCAGTCTCTAGCAGGGTTTGATCAGCATTTCATAGGTGGATAGAATGAGGGAATAGAAGGTTGGTATAGTATTTCCCATACAGTCAGATTATCAATTTAACAAAAAAAGAACAACACTGCACCTAACAGGCATTGATGATTAATGGAACTCAAGCTTTGCAAGTGATTTTTCTTTCACTGTTCTTTGCAGCCCACTTTTTTTCATGTGTAAGCCTTTGCACAGTGGCAGTTCTCTTGTCTGTTGAGGCTGAACATAGTCTTTTTATGTATCACTCTTGATATTTGAGCGCATCAATGTCAGTTAACACTCACTACAGTGCTAAGGGGTCAATGCACATACAGAAGCACTGTTGTTTGGATGAGACATTAAACTGAGGTCCACTTGCCCTCTCAGGTGATTGCAAGAAAATTCTTAGAAACTCACAACCATAGAAAATGTACAACGTGGAAAGAGGCTTTTCATCCCATTGTGTCTGCTGGCTAAATAAACTAGCTGCCTATTCCAATCACACTTTCCAACATTCGGTCCAGGATCTTGCAGGTTACAGCTTGCCAATGCTTCCTCTGAGGTCCTGGCACTCTCATTCTCAATGCTTCTCTGGGTGCACAGCAGCCTTTTATAGATGATGTGGGCACCAAGGATGCCAGTCTTCCACTGGGCATCTGAAGAGTTGCTCTGAGAATGGCATGTGGTAAGAAAGGCTAGACTCGGATGGGATAGACACCACTGGAGTGGAGTAAGTAGTTAACGAGGTAAGTTTGGTAAGATGTGTTGAGAAACTCATTGTGCCTCACGGTGGAAATCTCTAGAAAGTCTCGACGTAACTCAGACTTTGCGAACAAAAAAATAAGATTCAGCCCCATATTTCTATGCTTTGCTCAGTTAACTTTCTGGTCACTATTTATTCCCAAAATAGTAACATTAGGAGAGGCATTGAAGGTAAAGCTGTTGAATATCAAAAGAGGCAGTTGGGGATCTTCTTTTATCGTGATGGTCATTACCTGGCACTTATGAGACATGAATGTTGCTTGCCACTTATCAGTTCAAGCCTGAATGTTGTCCAAGTCTCGCTGCATTCTGGTACAGAGAGCTTTATTGCTTGAAGAGTTATGTTAATATGCAATCAGCGGTGAC